ATCAATGTGGTGCTACAATTAAGATGACGCTAAAATAAGAATGATGTCAAGATCAAAATGATGTTTAAATAAAAACTATGCTAGTATTGTATGAACAACATCAGTGGTTATACTATGGTTTAAATTTAGCATAAGAAATTAATTACTAAGCAGTCATGGACTTTCCTAGCATCAAAAAACAAGATTAGAGGGCATACAAGACCAAATGAGAACTAAAAGCCAAAGTGGCTACACAAACATTTTTTCTCTTCTCAATAATTTAAAAAAAAAAAACATGTTTCATGTCTCACCTTAACATACAAGAATTATATAACTCAAAAAATAATGTCATAATCATGACTTTCAATGTGTCAAAATAATAATCAAAATTTCATTTACGCGATGAATTAATCATAAATGATTTAAACTCTCTAAATAGTCAGTTTTTATCTCTTTGAGTCCCGGGAAATGCTAATTTGGTTCAACCCCGCGGCCCAATCAACCCGTGACAAGTGAACAGTTATAAAACTCGGACAGCTCAATTTCAACTTCCTTTCAAGTTCTTTGTGTCTGAATATCAGGCGTGCTCATTCAGAAATGTGGTTTGAAAGCCGAAAATATAGTATATTTGCGAGATTTGCAGAGTTAATAAGTGTTTGTTTGAAAAGTATGGCCGCCAAGCAATATTCTACATGCATGTCAACGTGATTTACGGCCTTAGAAGCCTCAGATTTGAATAAAGTAGGTGTTTAATCGATTTATCTGAAGTTAGATATATAACGTTGCGAATTAGACATGTTTCAGTCATTTATAGAGTCAAATTTCTAAAGTGTACTTCACACAAAGGGTCCAACAATAGCAAAGTCAGCTGGCACAAATAAACTTTAGTGAAAAGACGATTTTCTTTAGTGCCAGTTCAAGTGCTATTCCCCTTATTATTTAGGAACATAGCTACAAAATTACAGGCAAATTGAGTGTTATATAAACTTTGTTTTGTGTGAAGATTCTTACTGTTTTGGGAGTCAGTTTTCTTTACCAAATAATAGTGCTCTGTTGTGATGCTTCAAAAGATTCTTTGGAACAAAATCTAATCTATAGATTGAGTTTATATTTTACTTATAAACTACTAAGTGGTTCATGTTCATTTTGGATATATTTTAACCAGTTTTCCTTGAGTTCCATGGTGGTAAGTAGAAATTGTTTTATTTCATTTTACTAATTTTTGAAAACATACCCTCTGTTCATTTACTGATATTTAATAAATAACGCAATTATTTGTTGTAGCTATATTCTATAATTATTCCTCAACAATCCCTGGTCACTTTGAAGTATAATATGTGTATGTTTCACGGCAATTGAATTAGTATGGTCTGTGTTACACTTGTGAAATTAAAAAATTGCATTACCACCCCTTGGGCCTCTGATGCTAAACCCCCTGGGACTCAAAGCGTTGATTACAATTGTTTGGAGGAGAATATTTACCCACTGATCACAGAACTACAAAATTGTATATATATTTTTTTTTAATTTATAAATTATACCTATTTTCTCACTGAATTTTTGTGTATTATATTTAGAGCTACCTTGCGACACTGAACATTTCAGAGTGTTTTTTGGCAAAGAATATATAGTTTGGGGGGTGGGGGGAGGGGGTGGACTGTGTCTTTTCCTCTTTTGCACCCATCTCAGGGGCTCTGAGATTTTGTAGAGAATTCCTAGAGAGTTCCCCCAGACAGTCCTTTGGTATAGGGAGGTTAGGGTTAATGTTAGTTAGTGTTCATTTAACACTGACCCTACAACACTAAAACTCCTATATTCAAGGGGGGTCATGTGTTGGTTGATTTCAGTGTTTTCATTGTCTATTACATCATCATGTCCAGTGTGTATTATTTTCATTTGTTTGTCACCACCTCTGTGCCCTGTTAAGAAGTGGTGTTCTTTCTTTGTGACTTTGTCTTCGCCATGAATTTTCTTGACTTGTCAGCATCGATGCATTTAACCCTAACCTTAACCCACCAGTATTTCTATATGGAGACTGTCGGTCCTTTACAGGGCCCTTCCATGCTGCCACTCGAAGATGGTCCTTTTCAGAACACTGATATTGGCCGACATTTATGGGTCACTGAGTGAACTTCATACTAGAGACAACACTGCAAATACAAATAATCTATTTCGGGTAAACGAAAGATGAAGAAGAAGAAGAAGGGGAACTAATGCTAACCCTAACCCCCCAATACTATAGGCTTGTCCTAGGTTCTTCCTAGGAATTCGCAACCAAATCTAGCAGCCTGAGATGGGATAAAAAAGCCCCCCCCCCCCCCCCCCCCCCAAAAACACTTTTATTTTTGTTTTAATTTACAACAGTAAGACATTGCTTTAATTTTAGAGTGTGATCAATTGGCATGAACTGTGGCAACAACAAAATAGTATAAAGTTCAGCTAGTCATATTTGGGGGAAAAAAAAGCAGCTAGCTAAATACTTAGCAACATAGAACTCTCATAAGGGAGACCCAAGTTCGAATCCTTAGTAAGGTTGGACACTTTTTTTCTTCTGTCAGGGGCTAAAATAAAATCCTAACCTACAGTCTGTAGTGACAGCGCTAATCATGCGGCCCTAAATCTTCAGGTAAAAAGACACCCCCACCTCTTTTCCACAAACATGGTTATTACAGGCAGTAATGGCTGTTGACATTTAACCAAAATTTATAATCCACTGATGCTGTCCCTTTAAGGCGGTTAAATTAAATAAAGATGATGCTACAAGCATGTTTAACACAAACAAATTTGCATGATTGCATTTTATATTTTACATAACTGAACAGGGAACAGACAATGAGGTTAGTACAAATGTAAGTTCAAGTTAACAAAGCTTTGGCGTTTATTTTTAAATGAATAGTTTAACAAGCTATAATGCACAACAAGCCACAATACAGAAAATATTACTTCAAATAAGCAATATCTGATTTTTCTTCTTGTCCTGTGTACTCAATATTTCTAGTAAACTTTTTATGTTCTTGTAATTTCACTACTTTGACACAACAACAAAATTAATACTTTTTCAGAAAACTCTGTAGTTAAAATACCCTACATCAGAGCTATTCAACTGGCAGCCCACAGGCTAAGTCTGGCCCGCAGAGGCCTATTAAGTGGCCCGCAGATCATTGTCAGTTGTATTGTATTCATGATCTTTCTATGCCAGGGTTTGGGTCTCTGCCACATGAAGATCCCCACTTTCAACGTTTTGGCTCCTGAGTAAAATTACTTGTACAGTCCTGCCCTACAGGTATAGTAGTCTGAGGTTTTCCTCTTGAGGCCGTTAATTTATTTTTAATTCTAGCCTGTCTTCGCTGTTATGCTGCCCTTTTTTCTAGATGCCTCGCAGGCTGCTGTGCCTCTTCGAACAGTCTACAGTTCACTCTTCTGCAACAGCCTCCTGTGTGGAGGTTTATTCCGAAGACTTAAAGTAACGCCTTGTGACGTAGCATGTCCTTGAAGGTTGATGTTTTTGTCCTTTCTGGCCCCCATGACAGCATCTATCTTTATACAAGATTATTCTGGAGAACCGATGGTCTGGCAAATGGACCATGTGAAATGCCCATAGAATCTGTGACTGCACCAGGATGGTATCGATGGTGAGAATGCCAGCTCTATCCCGGATCTCATCCTGCCACTTGATTTTCAGTATCTTTCTTAGATAGACTGTATGGAAGTGGTTGAGCTTCTTTGCTTGAAATCTACATAAAGTCCAAGTTTCACAAGCATCTTCTATACCCAGTTCACCAACAGCTTATAATTCTTGTGTCAGTAAGGCGTTTTTTTTTAAAAGGTCAGGTTACGCAAAAGACCTAGGTTCAACCCTCGATAGTGTGATTTTTTTCCCTGTTTGGGGGCAAAAATAAGTTTCCTAACCTGCACAGTTTATGGTAACAGGACCAGCCATGCTGCCCTAAATCCTCAGATCTCCATGTACTATACTGCCCCCAAAAGTGGTCATGAGTGAGTGATGCTCAACCCCATCAGGGCTCCACAATAAGCGACTATCACATGGTGACACCATGTGGATGAAAATCCCCCATGCTCAAGTCACAGAAACTCTGTTCAACATCAGGTTATATTAGGTTCCATATTGAGACAAAGTCTTTTGTTTTAAAAGAAAGTGGTCTATCTATCTATCTCCTTTTACCCCACCAGGATATCACACAAGCAATAAACACCCGATGACACAAAGTGCCACCATGTGGATGAGGATCACCCGTGGAGAGGACCAATAACCAGCGTTCAGCAATTAAACCATAGTTATGGCAGGGCTATATTGCGGCCACTGGCAAGAGTCAGAGTAGGGCTTCAAATAACGAAAAATTGCATCCCACACAGGGATGGCAAGATGAAGTAAGAAAGTGACAAAGTGGTAAATACACTATGCTTGAATATATTTTTTTAAAGTGACCCTCAGGAAGTAACAAAAAAAAAATTTTTTAATACAAAAAAATACTCAGTAGTTGAAAAACAAAACACGAAGTAGTCATATTCGAGCAATCTATCGAGTCAAAAATTTTTGTAAACTTTTTTTCAAATTAATATTAGAAACATTTAAAATTCACTTATTTGCTTCAAAAGAATATTTGACTAGGGCTGTGTAATAATTTCCCTTTGTTAGGGTTAAACAAGCAGGACAGAAACAAACAGATTCCAGAAAATAGCAGGATACAAGGCAATCAGAGTGAAACTAAACTAAGAAAGCTCTTAAGCAACAACAAAAAAGAATCAAGAAAGACTTTGCTAACATAACAAAATCAGAACCAAAACTGTAATAAGCAGAACTACAGTCACAATTTCTAAGAAAGGTCAACCTTCAAAATATCCAATGGCATGTTATCTGCTGAAGCAAGCTACAAGGAATCATAAATCTATTTCAAAACACTTCTTGCACTGTTATCACATGCTCTAATTATAACCTGAGATGCCAATAAACCATGCCAATAAAAATCAAACTCTCTAGACATGGAGACAAATGAGCATACCTTGTGTAGTTGTAACACCGTTACTAAAAGCAGACGCAAAGTCTATATCAGATGAGAAGGCATTACTAGCGCTACTAGCAGTACTTGCAGAATAACCTGTTGATTGTAATCAAGAGTGGCAAATTATTCACCCCAACCTGAATGTGAATTATTCTTGTGCCATTTATTCCCCACTGCAGCTTACGGCCTAAAAAACTCACATCTTCATCTTATCCTTTGCAGCTTATTTGATGTTCTCGCTATCATTTTCAACTTATTGTTTAATTTTCTTTAAATGTGATTTACACTCGACAAGGTGAATACATAAAATCAATGTAATAACTGCACTCATGAATTGAATACGTCTGTGAACTGAACCCAGGACCAGCAGAGCAGGAGGCACACCAATTAACAAATACCTAAAACCTATAGAGAAAACATAACCAATTTAGTCTTAATTCCAACTAAACCTGCATGTGCTGTGTTAAATCATGACCTGGTTTTATATTTTAATATGCCCCTCCGCAGACATGAAGTTCCAGTAATGGTCAAAACTCACTGGTTTCTGAGCTTGGAGAGGGAAAGAAGAGCTCTGCAAAACAGTAGAAATGGAGACGGCAGTAGTAGTAGGTCGGGTGGGTGGGGGGGGGGGGGGGGGGGGGGGGGGGAGCTGTCTTTAAGTTCTTGTGGCTCTGAAATACTGCCTCTTCTTCATCCAATCCAATCTCTCTCTCTCTCTGTGTGTGCGTACGTGCATGTGTGTGTGCGCGCGCGTGTCCGAACATGCATGTGTGTGTATGTGTCTCAGTGCAGCTTCAATTCTGTGTGTGCGCACGCACGCACGTGCATTTATGCGCGTGCGTGCGTACGTGTGTGTGTGTGAGGGTGTTGTGTCTGTCTGTCTCAGTACAGCTACATTATATGTGCCCTTTGGCTGATACCCAGCACTCTCACCTTTTTAATGCATACTTGGGGGGGGGGGGGGCTGCGTGGTCTCGAGGCATGGTGTCTGACTCAAGTGCTAGCGGTCCTGAGTTCAAGCCCCAGTGAAGGCTGAGATTTTTACACATGAATTTCTAGTAACTTCACCTGGTCTCTTGGTAATAAGATCGGAAACCCGTATGTATTGTTGCGCACGTAAAATAAAATCCCTCGACGGTTGAAAATCAAAAAGAGTAGACTAACGGCGCTGCCCGGACAAAGTTTTAGTTACAAATCTACCCAAAGCATTTCAGGATCCTCTCCGGTGCTAGAGTTTGTGCACTGCGCTGAGATTCTTCAGACTCAGGCGTGAGTTAGAAGAAGAACAGAGCCCTTATAGGTTACACTCGTGTGCCATGATGTTGATCCGTTGAATAAACATAAATATAATGAATTCTTGGATATCTAGAGTCTTACCAGGTTACTGATATTTTTAACAATGCAGGGAGAATCAGGTCATCCTAGTGGAGCCTGCCTGCTAGGAAAGAGGCCTCAAATATAAGAATATAACCACAAACTGGCTGGCACCCCAAACACCTGATAAACCTGATAGCATTGGCCATTCTTCCTCTGTATGTTGGACCACATTGAAATCAGCGGTTTAAACAAAAACAATAGTTATTCGAGCCACCTGTGTGGGTTCCCTGGCACTACTGTGGGGAAAACAAGAATAGACAAGCATGTTGTAGGTGTTGATTGAATTGAGGCATCCTTTGAAGTCAAAGTACATATGCTTGAGAGGCAAGGAACCAAGAGTCCGCATACAAATAAACCAGACCTGTGAAACAGATGCGCACATAACACTGAAGTTCTGGAACAAAACTGAAGTCTGGAGGTGGACCAAGATCCAGAACTTTCCAGCCAGTAAAAGCAAAGAAGAAGTTACTCTGACTTATCTCCTTACCATTCGATTGAAAGCTTCCTGCCCCAAATGGGTTGCTACTGGTCTGAGGGTAAGCTGCAGCCATGACAGTCTGGACACTATTCATGAATGGATTCCCTGTGAGACTAAGCAGGTCATCGCTTGGCTTGCTGGAGCTGGTTGCAGCTGCTGGGGGTGGTGCCGGCTCTGTTGCTCCAAACAAATTATTGGCCTGCGATGAGCTGGCTGGTGAGGGGCCACCAAAAGGGTTATTAGTTGCAGAAGTACCGGCAGGTGGTGGCTGATACTGCTGTTGTGATGAAGCTTCTTTCGCCTTCTGCTCCTGTAAAATAAGAAACAGAACAGTCAGTGGAGACAATCCCAAAACATAAAGAAAAAGCAATAAATGCAACATGAGAAACAGTTAAAGCATTTAAGAATTTGTTTATATACTACAGAAGGAGGCAAAAGTACAGAAAACACTAAAATTGCTGTACACAAATACTAATCACATGAATACCATAAATGCTCAACAGAGACAGTTATTCCATATCTACTGTGTAAACACTCTTTTACTTGGGTTGACATATCCTTCTAATTGTTTCTATCCTTTCTCCAAGTCAGAATTAGATTAATGATCATATAATTTGGTGAATGGTATTGAGCTAGCATATTTAATCGTCTAAAATACCAGCGTCTTTCTTCTGCTGTGTTCATGTGCACTGTAAGACTAAGAGCTCTAAAGATGACTGTATATGTTACCCTCATGCCTTAAAATATGTCACCTGTATACTGTCTGCTGTCCTGAAGGTCAAGGAGTCAAATCCAAATCAATGTGGATGTTTTCTTCTTGGAAACTGACCACGGCTTCCAGGTCTACCAAGCTTAAAATGGTTTATCGGGTAATGTCCCAGGAAGTGAAAACAGCTGAAATGATGCTGACCACATCACTGAGTGCCAAACAACTGGTTTCTACAAATAATAGGTCAAATATTATAATGTTTGATATGCTAAGACGTGAAAAGGTCCTTTCCTTATATCTAACAATGCCGTCAAGTGACTCAGCTCTGACCCTATGACCTCTATCACCACAGCCTACAGGAAAATTTGACATCAACTTGGCTGTAAAAAAGCTATTTGGCGTACAGGAAAACCCCTAAGTGCTATTTTTAGCTAATATATAAATTTCCTGACCTCCTACAAATGGGCTATTCAAATGGTGGCCCGCAGGCCAGATGTAGTCCGCTGAGACCTTGCAAGAGGCCAGCGAATCATTGCAAGTTGTATTGTATTAGTCAATCTTTCTATGCTGGAGCTAGGGCTTCTGGCCTGTGACTAATCCCATGTTCAAAATTTTTGCCCCTGAGTAAACTTAGTTGAATAGCCTTGTCCTACAAGTCTGCGCAGGCGCAAACACAGCCAATAACATCAACAATCCCTTATATCTAACAATGCCTTTACACATTATATTGTACAAAAGCACACAGACGACAGACAGCACCTTAAGTCTCTGTAGCTGCTGGCTTTCCTCCTCTAGAATTCTCCTCTTCTCTGCCTCTGAGACATTAAATGTGTTTGTTGTCATTGTGTTCAAGGCAGATGTGAATCCAACTGGTCTGTGCACATACAGATTTGTTTAAACAAATGTTGTATACATAAATAAGACAATATCAGTATCACAAGTATCATTTAGATATCATTATTGCGACTGATCCAAAGTCAGCTAAGTGTAATTCTGAGGATTTTCAACCATGTGCATTTTCAGTGCTGTTTTTTGTCACTTTACAATACGGAAAGGGCAGATTTAGGTAAATTCCTACGCTATATACGGCATAATGAATTATTACTTTTTTCATGCAACCGAGTAATTTTACTTCTCATGTATACAAATTCTATAGCATCTCTTGCTTTACTGTTTGGATTGATGGGATTTTCTGCTTTCCAATTATTTGTCACTATTTTAACTTTGCTGGTATTTATCTAAAATCTCTAAGAGGCCACTGTTAAAAATTTTCAAAACTTTTCCTGAACCTGATATCATCTTCGTAGTCCAAATTCTCTAAAAGTGTGGCAAATGACCATCTGAAACCTGTTTCTATCTCTTGTAAACTCCTCCATCAGTCAGTTTATGGCCAGGTTGAAAAAAAGAAAGCTGTCCACACAAAATATTAATGCAAAAGGCATTTAGCAAGATCAAATACAAACTGGCTACCACCATCATCATCATCATTTAGCAGGTTCTTTGCAGAACGTCGCTTTTATCACGGTCTGCCTGAAAGAAACTCGGTCTCTGGCCAGCTCTCCCACCTCTTGTAATTTCATACTCAAGGAGTCACTTTTATCCTGTGTCCATCTTTGTGTTGGTCGGCCCCTGCCCCTACTTCCTGGTACCATGCCTTCTGCTATAATTTCTTCCAATCCTTTGTAGCGCTTAAAACGACCAAAATATTTCAAAATATTTTCCGACAGGATGCTGTTTATTAGCCAATCTTCTTGATGTTCAGATTTTTCAAGATGTCAGTATTTCTCCTCTTCTTTGACCAAGATATCCTGAGAATATTTCTATAGCATTTCAGCTCAAAAGCCCCTATCCTCTTTCTTAGGGACTCATGACTCATGGCTACCACCATTTTCTTAATATCACAACACAAACCACTGTGGGCACAGAGGAAAGACATTCCACATAAAAGACACAGCTCAAAGTGTCACACCAGGCACTTAGTTCAGTAGCTAAAGCAATGAAACTGTACCCCCAGTCCATACGAGGAAGCGGCATTAGCAAACCATGGCCAGGAGCAACAACACAACAAAAAAAAACATACACTTCAAGACTAGCAGAATGTGCTTATCCACCATACTGGACCTGAAGCCATGTAAACAGCCCCAGGAATGCTTAAAAAATGGACCATGACCACAGTGGAATTCCCCCTTCCCCCAACCTTTAAAAACAGCAATTTTACAGAGGTCACTAATAAATTTTTTTTTAAATATATAAACAAATATAAATGAAGTAGTCAATAATAATCAATAAACACAGAGGGAAGTACTAAATTAAAAACATCCCCCAGGGCCTTAAAAACAATGTTTCAGAAGACCTGTCAATGAGGCTTACAGGACAATTTTATGTTTCACAGGAGAACCCTGCATGCTATTTTTAGCTAATAAATTCATTTCCTGACACCATTAATGTGTGCACAGGCACGAAATCGGCCAATCTGCAACTTGCAAACAAGTCACTCTAGACAAGTTGACAAAGTGACACTTATGAGGAATTGGACCCAACTGGAAATGTTGACTTTGAGGCTTCTCATGGTGTCAGGTTAAACAAAATCTGAACCAGTAAGTTACGATTGTGGAAATGAACTAAGAAACATACTATCACTCCTTACTTGCTGACACTGGTTGGGGTGGTTGCAACTCCTTTCTTCCCCTCTAGGGAAACCAGGTGTTGTTCTAAGGCATCTAACAAGCTAGCCGGAGCCTGGAAAGAAAACAGATGAAATACTGGCCAATCTTATTTTCCTCAGAACATAAAAAGGTACATATAATCAAAGTAAGATATTTCTTGAAGTATCAAACATAACAGCCAAGACTCCAAATAAAAAAGAAAGTACCCGCAGAGCTACGCTCCATTAGGTATGCTCCTGTGGATGTGTTATAAGGTAGCTAAAGTAAAACAATGAAAAAAAAAAGTAAAAGCAAATCGGAAAGGGGAAAAAATTAATGGTGAAAGTAATGTGATTACTACAAGGCAGATAATTCTAGAGACAAGTCTTAGATCTGCTAGGAGCAAACGTGCACTATAAAGCTGAAATTATTCAGTGATATAATTCAAAAACTGGACAGATAATAATGGTAATGAAGATGTCTTCAAAGAAACTGACTCACGAAAAGAACTGACTGCCTACACCAGAAAGAGAAAATCTACATTTTTGGTCAGGTCATGAGAAGGAGAAAACTGGAGTTCGTCGTGATAGTGGGAAAGCTGAAGGGGAAAAGAGGAAGAGGGCAATCAAGAGAGAAGATGTTGGACAGTCTGAAACCATGGCATTGAATATCGTCTGCGTCAGAAGTGACCGAAAGAACATGCGACAAAAGGTTGTGGACAGACATGACTACCAATGCTACTTAGCATGGACTATAAGAAGATAATACAAAGAAAGAAATAATCAAACTGGGCCACAGATTTAAAAAAGAAAACAGCAAGATGGAGTGAGGGGGACAGAGAGATGGACAGAAGAACAGAAAGAACAGGTACAGAGAGAGAGAGAGAGAGAGAGAGAGAGAGAGAGAGAGAGAGAGAGAGAGAGAGAGAGAGAGAGAGAGAGAGAGAGAGAGAGATACAGTTCAGGTGAGGACTGGTCACTCTAAAAATACAAACACTCTAAAAATATATATACACAATATGCAATACTCTTTCAATGTTCAAAATTAAAAAGCTATACAACTAGGATTGTAGATTTTATACTGATCAGCTACTTTTAAAAAAAATAATTAAAAAAGAAAAAGAATTAGTTTATATAAAATTATCATTAAAGAACCAAAATTAAGTCATGACATTTCTGTATTTCAACAATACTGACTAACAATTTATGAATTTATTCAAATGCATATTAAATGATACATTTAAATCATGACATAAATTTACAAGCAGCTTAAGAAGAATAACATACAAGAATAACAGATTTGGTAGGACATTTTTTTTTTAACTAAACAGGAACCATATACATGTAAGCATTGAAATAAACTTGAAAATTAAAGTGACACATATATTTGTGACCTTTCACAGCAACTAAAAAAAAAATGTTCATAATTTTTATACAAACTCCCCAAAAATGATTTTCCGTTATTTCATTCCTTCAGTGTATGGAAGTTGAGTCTGTTTCTAAGGAAACACTTACAATGACTGTAAGAAACATTATCAATCTAGGACTAAATCCCATCCAGTTTGAATGTGTTAGACTGAAACACACCTGGCTAAACTCTGGTATGCCTCTCCACAGATGTGAAGTTCCAGTACCAGCCTCATACACCCCAATGGCTTCCTCCTCCCCTTCTTTTGTGCTCAAGCTGAAAAGAGTGGTTGGAGCTTGTGATATAACTGCGCCTTTTGCCCCAACTCATTCGACTGCAGCAGACCCCTAATTAGTCACCTTGTACCTGTATGAGCTCTGGTAGTCGTGCACCACATCCCGATCATGGCTCAAAACCTCACAATGGCACCACCATTTTTTCTCTACCCAAATGTCTCACTTGGAAGTAAACAGAAGTGTTGATCTGTTAAGTTTCTGTCCAGACAGATCTTAAGGTCTACTCCCAGTGAGATAATCGTTATACACAAATGTCAATATATCAACAGAGTTATACACAAATGTCAATATATCAACAGAGTTATACACAAATGTCAATATATCAACAAAGTTATACACAAATGTCAATATATCAACAGAGTTTTCTTAATATGAATTACTCTTGGTATTCACACTGTCCATCGCCATGGGGTGTGAGTCTCATGTCTCCTCACAGCAAACATCGCCATGGGCTGTGAGTCTCATGTCTCCTCACAGCAAACATCGCCATGGGGTGTGAGTCTCATGTCTCCTCACAGCAAACATCGCCATGGGGTGTGAGTCTCATGTCTCCTCACAGCAAACATCGCCATGGGGTGTGAGTCTCATGTCTCCTCACAGCAAACATCGCCATGGGGTGTGAGTCTCATGTCTCCTCACAGCAAACATCGCCATGGGGTGTGAGTCTCATGTCTCCTCAAGCAAACATTGCCATGGGGTGTGAGTTCATGTCTCCTCACAGCAAACATCGCCATGGGTGAGAGTCTCATGTCTCCTCACAGCAAAACATCGCCATGGGGTGTGAGTCTCATGTCTCCTCACAGCAAACATCGCCATGGGGTGTGAGTCTCATGTCTCCTCACAGCAAACATCGCCATGGGGTGTGAGTCTCATGTCTCCTCACAGCAAACATCGCCATGGGGTGTCAGTCTCATGTCTCCTCACAGCAAACATCGCTATGGGGTGTGAGTCTCAACAGCAAACATGCCATGGGGTGTGAGTCTCATGTCTCCTCACAGCAAACATCGCCATGGGGTGTGAGTCTCATGTCTCCTCACGGCAAACATCGCCATGGGGTGTGAGTCTTGTCTCCTCACAGCAAACATCGCCATGGGGTGTGAGTCTCATGTCTCCTCACAGCAAACATCGCCATGGGGTGTGAGTCTCATGTCTCCTCACAGCAAACATCGCCATGGGGGTGTGAGTCTCATGTCTCCTCACAGCAAACATCGCCATGGGGTGTGAGTCTCATGTCTCCTCACGGCAAACATCGCCATGGGGTGTGAGTCTCATGTCTCCTCACAGCAAACATCGCCATGGGGTGTGAGTCTCATGTCTCCTCACAGCAAACAAATAAAATTATCGTGTGAAAATAGGAAAGACACCAGTAAAACTCTGACTTTATCTTTGTAATATCTTTGTAATAATGTGTGTCTGTTAGTATGTATAAGTAGGCACACATTATGAAAGAAATGTAACCATACGTTAAATCAAGACCATGGTTTCCAAAGTAGATTATTCTGCTCAGTGGGACATAGCGGGGTCCTCTATAAATGCAACAGAGATGGGTAAAAGATTATATTTACCGAAACATGGAAAGATTGTTTCCACATTGCTGCTATAATTTCTCAGTTAGGTATGTACGTATACAAATACATTAAAAGCTGGACATGGGTATACACTGATGAAAATGCACGATTCACCAAAAATATTCATGCTGCTCCCTGAAAATGATGGACACCAGATGCAGGCAAGTGAGATGTGTACGTGTGTCACCAAATTTACACATACTTTCAAGAAAGCAGCACAATTTTCTACCTGCAACGCAAGTGAACTTTTATCAAGCACACATATTAACAAAATAACTGACTCAGTGAAACACTGTGCGCCAACATTAGGAACATAACGGAATTAGATGAGATAGCTTCAAAAAAAACAATTGAGAGGAAGAAGAATGTTAATACATGTTAAACTGATTGAGGCTGTCATTTTCTTTTATTAAAGATTAAAAGTTGAGAGGATTGATTTCACTGCACCAGGTTTTAGAAAGGCTAGCCACCTGCCAAGAGCGCCACACATAACAAGAACATTGTAGCTCTGGTCATGATCCTCATGGGTCCTCATAAAAATTGCACTCACAAACCAACCAATGCAGCCATGAAACAAACCCATGAGCTTCAAACAGGAGAAAACTTCGCCACGGAGACACCCTTTTTTTTTTAAATTAAAGGTAAAGGTAGTCCCGCAGCAGAACATTCATTAGGTAGAGTGACCAGTTCCTTTTCTCACTGTATTCCTTCCAAAAAATATTCTCAGGAAATTCCGAAAATTTTCAGACTAAACTGGGACCACTGTCTTTGCACACAAGTGAAGCTGCCTTTGGTGCTATATGTTCTTTCACTACAAAGCCATTTACTGAAACAGGCATGTTTTTTTTTACTGCAAGCTGCAGTTATCCCATGTGTGGCTATGATTTGAAATATACACTTGAAAAACATGAACTAACATGCAAAGGGACAATTAAGGTGTGAACTCACAAAATCGAACTTCATAACTGGCTCAAGCAAAGTAAGCAATCAGCTGGTTACAGGGTGGACCAAGTACACGCTGGCACTCCCATTTATTATTTATTAAACAACAGAATGACAGACAGACAGACAGACAGACAGACAGACAGACAGACAGACAGACAGACAGACAGACAGACAATCTTTTTTCTTCTGAGAGAAATAGAGCTAGGGAAAAAGGGTGGGAAAATAAATGTCGCAGGAAACATAAATATTTAGTGTTTTTTTTTTCTACTTCTGAAAACATAATACAGGATTTGTGTGAGTGTGTGTGTGTTTTTTTTTATTATGATCAATATTTGTGAGAAAAAGGAAAACAGTTTAAATTTAACAAATGTGGGGTGAACATCCACTGATTTTAGAAACAAGTAAAACACTCAATAAGCAGGTAAGTTGGAGTATGCTTGGAATTTTTAATAATATTATAATGATGAAAGCTTTTTTAAAACTATAAACATCCTCAAAATAAACTAGCCAGCTGCGGCAGCCTAGTGGCTATATGCTCATATGCTGGCACTGAAGGTCTTGGGTTCGAATCTGCACCAGGTGAATTTGTAACCAAAAAATAAAAATTTTAATTTAAAAAAAAATGCTTCTTGCATGACCCAGGCTAATATGGGTACCAGGCAATGTTATGGAAAATAAAGGCAACCAGCATCATGGTGATGTAGACTATATCACTCGTGGAGTACTGATTCGTCTATAATAATATGAGTTAGTTGCGCATTCTTTACAGGACGTTGCAGAACCAGCCCCAGCAGTTTTTGTTGTTGCTGTTGTGGGTTTTTGTAAGCAAATTTTAAGTTCAGTAGTCACTGCTTTTAAACAGCTGGTTCTCAATACCACTGTCAAAACCAATGCAAGGCACACACACACACACAAAATGATGCCTGCAGCTGAGATCAAACCCGGCACCCCGGCATTACAAAGCGCGTTTGCAACTCCTAAGCCACAGACGCCAACATAATAATATGAGGCTGGCATCTTATGCCCAATTCACTAGTGGCATAAAAAGAGTCCCTTATTATTTTAAATTTTATTTTTAACTTTATTAAAAACAACTGCTAAGAAAACACAAAACAATAATGTGCCTGTTAACTGAATAAATATAACTCATCAAAACTGGTGATTTTTAAATCAGTGCATTAAAACCTGGCCAAAAACATAAATTATAAATCTGGCATGACTTTCAATTAATTATTAAAGTTAAAAAGTTTAATAATTAAGCAAGACAAGATTGTATGATTGTATGATAGAATAACTAATGTAGAACTTTGGGAGAAAACTAAACAGGCTCCAGTGGACCAAGAGGTGAGGAAAAGATTCTGGCGTTGGATAGGACACACACTGAGAAAACAGGAGAACAAAATAACTAGAATGTCTTTGCATTGGAACCCACAGGGGCACAGGAATAAAGGAAGGCCAAAAAACACATGGAGAAGAGAGCTGGAGAATGAAGTTGGAAAGATGGGGAGGACATGGAGAGAGCTTTAGGTAATGGCGAAGGATAGAGCGACTTGGCGTGAGTTGGTTGAGGGCCTATGCTTCATTGGGGGATAGAAAGGCAAAAGAAGAAAAGATTGTTCTAAATATAATTTTCTCTTTCCTATTTTAATTCAAACCTCATATAAATAATTTTAAAAAAAAAAAAAAAAAAAAATAATAAAATAAACAACAAAAACTTTTAAAATGAGAGAAATAAATGAGTGTTTCTGATGACAAAATTGAGAAGACCAGACAGGACAAGATTTGTTTTGTCCATGTGAATCCTTTCTTGTTTTATAAAGTGCACACAAAACATACTTATGACTTATATTTCTTTACTCGTATACCTGAGAACAGGGTTTAACATTTATCTTTGACGATTCACATTAAACATATGTAACTACAATCCTGGCCGTATTACATTTAACCTGAGGAGAATTAAATATAGCTATGTTTCCAGGGACTTCCCACTTCCACCTTCAGTATGTAATTAATCGCCTCATTAACATGTACAACATAATAATTACACTTCAACACAAAGCTGAAATCCTTGGTTTCATTAACAAGAATTAGAGGCATATTATTAATGTTGACTGTCAAAACAATATGCACATGTCAGACCAAATTGGTGTTTATAAACCAAGGACTCTAAAACAGGTCTGTTGTTGTAAATATCTGGATTTAATGACTTAAAATGTGTGCTTGGCCATTACCTATTAAACTTAAGTTACTCCGTTCTGATTTGTTTTAATTGCAGATTGGGGGATGGGGGGGGGGGGGGGGGAATTAGACTCACTGCCCCCCTTACAAGAATGTAAACATGTTGATTAATTAGGGTTGTTTCCTTTAAAGTCGTAGTGCATCTGCCTGAGAGGCGAGGAATCAACAGTCTGCATACAAATAAACCAGATCTGTAAAATGGATGTACACACAAAACCCAGTTTACAGACAAAGAAATATTTGTAAAATCATAGTTTTATTTTATTTGCCTAAGCAGTTATGTTCACCAAATTTTTAACTCTATCCCAGCCAAATGCTAAAATACTACACTATTTCCTAGTGATTATGAAACATTTATGTCTTACAGTTTGTTACTATAACCATGTCTACCTCACTTGTTTTTTAACTTCTTCCTGTTCAGACAATCATGCTTTTTTCTGTAATGGTTGTCTGGAGCAGAGAGAGAGCTAGCAATAAAAAAATGGTTCTTGTAAAGAATCATGCAGAAACTAAAAGGCAAAAACAATGTAAAATCCTACACCAACTTGCCAGAGAGAGATATAATTAACTATGGATACACTGCACTGGCCGCAAAGCAAACACGCATAAAGTTTTGCTATACACAGCAAACGGCAAGATTATTTTTCTGAAGCTACCAAGCAGCTTGCAAATCACTTACTGACGACGACCTGTCATTTGACCCCTGTATGAAATATAAAAGACAAGAAGACAAGGACAGGAACAAGAAAGCGAAATAAATGTAACATAAAAATCTTTTTTTTTTTTTCAATAAGGACATATAAGTTATATAAATAAAATAATTTTTCATGTAGGGGTTATGCAAAATGTGAAAGCAGTAAAAGATCTTTTTCAAGTCGCTGTCTGCAAATTATGCATTAATTTTTCATTCATTGTCCTACTGTAAAATTATACATCACACAGGGCTTGAAGTCTATTTCTCACTTCCATTCTTCCCTCGAAGTTAATCTGCCGGTGAGACAGGAAACTGCAAACAAATAAGCCAGTAAAACGGATGTACACCCAAAACTCAAGTCCAGGTAAAAGCCAAAAGTCCAAATGGACGACTACCGGGACCTTCCGCCGGAATTCACAGCTGGTGAACGAAGAAGAAGAAGAACTTCCATTCTAACCTTTGTAATCACTATAATATCATGGATGGAATCTAGTCCCAAAACCTTGGGCTTCTCTAATCAAAATCCCTCTAATTTGCCATTTCACCGACTGTTTGTGATTCTCTGCTCACTTCTACTCAGGATATGCCAAATAGCGGCGTCCATGGCGTAGACGTTGCGAGTCCGACTCGTAATTCCAACCTACCGCGGTCGAAACCAACTGCAGGCTGCATGGATTTTTATCAAGGTATGGGGCGCAGGTCGACCCAGCCTAAAATGGGTCCCAGGATGTATGTCCTGGGGAAGTAAAGACAGCCGGTGTAATGCTGACCACATTACCCACCTAGTGCTGATTAGTCTTTAAAAAAAATAGGTGCTCTTCCCATATGCCAGATGCACCTAAAGGTGTGAAAAGGAATCTTTACTTTTTTTTTACCCCTTTACTTAAATGCAAATAAAGTGCCATCTTCTGTGTCTAATAACTGCTGACACAAATGGTTGCCTAGACATTTCCCTTATTCATTCACCCCTCTTAAATTCACCCCCATTTTATGTTTATCTTTTTTCTCAGGCATAGTTATTTGAGACTGATAGATACCGTATCCAGAAACTATGAGTTGTTAACCCATGGCTTTTGATTTCATGGTAGATACTGTAAATCTGGGAGGAATGTGGCTTTTCTGCCTACCCCCGGGCGTGAACCCGGACCACAAGGAGTTCGTCACCCGGTCGCAGTTTAGCCAATTGCGCTAGCGAGCCGGGTATATATATATATGATACTAGATCAATATTTCTTTAGCCAACTGACACTCAAAGTTGCGGTTAACATCACACTGAAAGAGTTATGTAAATAGAATTTTATTTTAAATATAAAAATATGAACCTGCCAATTCAAACAAACTACCGCTCTGATACAAATATTCAATTCTTTGAAAGTCAAAGATTTCTTAATTTTAACTTATATTTCATAAGATATAATTCATTTAAATTTTTTTAATTTTCCTATGGTGGAGACAAGACAATAGAGTGTGGGATTTACTGTAGGAAATGTCAAAACTTGGGAAAAGCAAAAGAAAAAACATAGAAGTAAATATTAAACAAAGAAAATCCTTTTATCACCTCATTTTATTGCAACATTAATCTATGTAAAGATATGACATTTGACAATCTCACAGCCTTACCCTCTACAAGATCATATGTGTGCCCTGCCCAACACTGGCATCTTTTCCTCACCTCTTGATTCACTAGAATTTGTTTAGTTATCCCCAAAAGCACTACTGATTTATTCTATCATACTATTTAATGATCTCTATTTGCACAGGAATGTTTACTGCTATAGTAAAGTTTTTAAAACTATTGGACAAAATGAAGAAGATAGGATAATGTTGGGATCATGGTTTGGGGGGTGGGAGAAGATAGGATAATGTTGGGATCATGGTTTTGGGGGGTCAGCATGCACTTCTTAAAAGGTAATTCATGAGAACAGAGAAATGATATACCTTTTTAATAACAACTTTTTGTAAATCTTCCCCTTCTTCCTATAAAAAAACACATTATTTATTAATGTCTAAAATAGCAAAACTGCTACTGATTTTAAGATTTAGTCATTTGGATACACTTAAATGTGTCCACACAAAAAAACTTGCAGTGTACTATTCATTCCCCTTCAAATACCTCATCAATACTATACTTTAACAAAAGACTATTTTATATGTAAGTGATTTGAAATAGCTAACATATTAAACAAATTTTAAAATATACATAAGTCTGAATATATCTGCACTGGCAATTTCCAGTTTTAAAATAAAGAGGATGACAGATGATTCCATGCAACACTAACCAAAACTGGAGAGTATTTTTCTGTGGTGCAAATCAAACTGGCCAGTGCTTCCACTGGACCAATTCAACAAACTAAGCATGTGAAAAATATGATACATTGAATTCAAAGTTTTAAATATACGATCATGGTTATCAAATTTCTAAAATAATCTGTAATAAATGTTACTCTATCAATGACAAATAAAAAAAAAAAAAAACAGATATTACACAGTCTGCTTATTAATTTTACAGGATCTGGATATATTCTATATCTGGAACAACACTACAGTCACTTCAAAGTGATTAAGTCAAAAAATTAATGTGCACTTGGGCTTTATGTTAGAGAGGATTAAGACAATGAAAAAAAAAAAAGAAAGATGGACAGCCCACATAAGTTGTAACGTAATATCAGTGAAGTTGTTAACTCCAGTTCAAACGTCAGCTGCAATAACTTTCCAGCATTGTAATCCTCCCACATGATGGCATAACCTAAGATCTTTATTTCCATTCAACTGTTCATATAATCTTTCCATTTATACACACCTTCTGAGAGCCACCGTGATGTTGCGGCTAGACACTCGCCTGTGGATTGGAAGGTCACGGGTTCGGGTCTGACCGAGATGGCCTCAAAAATTACCTTGGCTCTCAGGTCGACCCAGCCCTGAGTGGGTACCAGGTAAAGTCCTGGGAAGTAAAAGCGACCGGCATGATGCTGACCATATCACCCACCCAGTGCTTATTGGTCTATAAAATAAAGGTCTAGCCCTATATGCCAAATAAGCCTGAAGGCGTGAAAAATGGTTCTTTACTTACTTAAAACACATCTTCCTTCCACTTTTAAATCTAATAACTGGCCACCATTATACCATTAAAAGCCAGTTGCATTTCTTTTACAGAAAGTTTGCAAACCAACCCCAGCATTTGTTGCCTGTTTTTGGTTTACTAGACAATCTCTTAAGCAAAGGAAAAAGTAGAGAAACAAGATTATTATGGCCTGGAGAGAATGAGGCATCTGGGTGTAACTAGAGGGTCTGGCTGGCTGACTACACTCAGAGGATAGGCAAGACGTACTGTAACCAGATTGTGAATGGGTACCATCAGTAGTGGAACTCTGTGCTGGCTGCTGAAGATGAGGATGGAGCATGCATGGGAATGCCCCGAGTGCTGTGATATCAATTCTTGACTCAACTCAACTAGACAATCTAACGTTCAGTAGTTTGCAACTGCTTTTTGAAAGGATGGCTTTCGATACCACTGTCACAATCAACAAAAACAACAAACAGGAGTCTGCTGCCAAACCGTCTGTAGCTGAATCACACTAGCTATTTCTGAAATAAAATACACATGGTCACTTCTAAAAAAATCTGGCTTGATGAGAATTTGGACCCTCAACTTTTGGGCCCACATGCGAGTGTCTAGCCGCGACATCACGATGGCTCTCTGTGCATATGGTGCTAAACATATTCTCATAGACAAGTCTGCATCTGATGGGTTATGTGGTCAACATCACACTAGCCATCTTTACTTCCTAAACTGGTATCCATTTTCTCTTAAATGTTTATTCTGAAGTCTGTTTCTACAGGAAATACGAATGAGAAAACCAGAAATGAGAAAATCATAAATAAAAAAATAAGGAGAAAATCAGAAATAAGAAATCGCGAGGGAAGAAAACAGAAAATGAATAAAGTAGAAATGAGAAGAAATTATAAAACAATCAAAATTCACCACTTAACTATATAAATTTACATAATCTGGAGGGTAGTTTAGTTTGTTCAAACATCCAGCCTACAGAAAGTCCAGCCACCTACTACTATACACTATATTTCAGTCTCAATATCTGTGTTATTTTCAATATCTAGCATTATCCCAGCTTATACAAATTTATAACCAACTGTAATGTGGAGGAAAATACTGGAAAATCTATTGGAAAATAATGAAAACAATATTAAATACCATAATCAAGTGGAGATCTAGCTTTTGAATTCACACTTCTATTTTCTATTACATGTAGATATTGAACGGAACAAAATATATTCATACATATATTTTCTACTACATGAAGACGTTAAACAGAATAAATTCTAAGCTGTGTTATGATAATATCTGTTCACATACTAAAATCATAATTCTGGCGTATGACACTAAAACTAAAAAAAATAAAAAAAAATGACTGCAAATTAGTCTTAAATCACAAGAAGCTACAGAAAGCAAACATGTAGATACTGGAAATGTTTAGCAACAGAAAAGAAAATCTGTTAAGTTTTCTCCTTAAAACACCATCAGATTAAGTATAAAACTCACCTTGGCTAAATCTGGAATATCACCTTTATCTATGCCCATATTCTGAAACATACAAATTTATATTATCAAAATATGCACTATTAGCTTTATTTATTCAATACCTCATCAAATCTGGAATATTACCATTATCTATATACACCTGTATTCTGAAACAAATACTTATCAAATCTAGAATATGACCTTTATTTATCTATACCCATCTTCTGAAACAAACTATTATGTTTTCAAATCTGGAATATCACGTTTATCAATACTTATATTCTGAAACAAACAATTATGTCATCAAATCTGGAATATCACCTTTTTTAATACTTATATTGTGAAACAAACTTATGTTATCAAATCTGAAATATCACCTTTATCAATACTTATATTTTGAAACAAACTTATGTTATCAAATCTGGAACATCACCTTTTAGAACTATGTTCTGAAATAATTAAGTTATCCACTGTGAAATATTGCCTTTTTTTTTATACCTATATTATAAAAAATTCAACTATGTTATCAAATCTGGAATATCACCTTTTTTTAAACCTATATTCTGAAACAAATGTTATCAAATCTGGAGAATCAGGAGATTATGTGGAAATCAGAAGAATTACGACTTTCACTGTAGGGCCTTGAAATTGCTGGATTTCTTCAGGCTTCGAAGCTACCCTGAACATATCTTATCTGGTGTCTTTCACCGCTCATGGTTTATCAGTTGTGCTGAGGTCCTCATTTCTAAGCCTAAACTCAACAGATCTAACCTCTTGATTACCTACTACCCTCAAAATATCTGTGCCAAAAACATTCTCCTCAGGCACGTCTCGATCCTACGGGTTGACCCTGTCACAAACATGATTTACATGACTGTAACCTCAAGGACGTTCTAGTCAAGAGCTGGATAGGTCACCCTTCCACGTCCGACTCAGGCATGCTCTCTTTTCATACACCTATATGTATGTGATTCAGGCATTCTCTAATGCCACCTTCCACATACACGAGGCATTCTACTGCACGGTCCACATTGTTGTTTACACCATTATCTACAAAAAAATGTGGTACGAAATACTTTGGTGACACAGGGCTTGGACTAGCTGACAGGCTCGGGCAACATCTTTCTGACTGCAGAATGGTGCACTCAAACTAGTGAATGAGCATTTCAATTCTCATGGTCTCCAAGGTGTCCTTGACATAGAGGTTATGTACTTGACACAGAGGTTAAGGCCAATATTCATGATCTATACTTGTTCAGAAATGGAGCAGTTAAGGGGTGACACATCTGTAGTAAAGATGGAACCGCAACTAATGAACAACCCAATATGTTTTATGGCATGACAAGGAATTATTTCCTTTACTAATTTAATAAATTAGAGGACATTTTTCATACTTTCTTCTCTTCCCCTGCCCCTCTTACTTTCCAGCTCGTCAGCTGTCACGCAATACTTTCCTTGTTTCTTCTTACTATGTGTCCAAAAAAGAACCCAAAAAATGTGAATTGCTCTCTTCTGACTGAAGGGTTTTTAAAGGTAAGAAGGCCTTACTACTGCACTGCACTTTATTCAGTACTGTTCAGAGACAGAGCAGCTGTTCATATCCCTGAGTTGGCATATTTCTGTCTTTATTCAGTACTGTTCAGAGACAGAGCAGCTGTTCATATCCCTGAGTTGGCATATTTCTGTCTTTATTCAGTACTGTTCAGAGACAGAGCAGCTGTTCATATCCCTGAGTTGGCATATTTCTGTCTTTATTCAGTACTGTTCAGAGACAGAGCAGCTGTTCATATCCCTGAGTTGGCATATTTCTGTCTTTATTCAGTACTGTTCAGAGACAGAGCAGCTGTTCATATCCCTGAGTTGGCATATTTCTGTCTTTCCATACAAGTGTTACATTGTGCTTTAGGGTGGCATGGGAAAAGAGGCTGGCCTCGACATCTTTTACCTATCTGTAATCACACAGGGCAGCACGTTCTTGATTCATACATTAAACACAAAACCTTGAGATTGTGATGGCAGATGCTCGTCAGTTGGGGACAGCAATCTATTTAAATAAGCACATCCCAACTGAAAAGCATGCTGAAGTCACGGGTGCCATGCCGAAAGGTGCAGACAGACCAGAAAGGTATCACAGCTGAACCTGAAAACTACGGCACCATACAATTCTTCCCCGCAAAGCCAGTGATGGAAACTGGGAATTATGGATGTGATGTTGAGCCTGTTGAACAAACAGTGGAAGACATGTATCGCACCACAGACTTCACAGAGACATGTAGCCTTTCTATCTGAATACTGCTGGCAGGAAGAACAAAAAAGAAGAAGAGATAGTAAGACAAGCAGCTTAATTACTTTGTTATGGACACTTTCTGGTGCAGGTAAAAAGTTATCACTATAAGTTAATTTCTTTCAAGACAGCACCATTACATTTTTTATCTGCCCGTGGTATTCTCATCATTCTTCTACAGAACCCCATCTTTGTACTCATAAGCACATACAGTGAAATGTTTTTGTAAAACAGGTGTTAAGTGGTGAATCTTCGCAAACAAATACTGGAGAAAATTGACGAACATTAAATGGAATGAATTCAAGACAGGTGAAGAAATAAGAAAAAAAAAAGTCTGAAAAACTGCTTGTATCTTTGTATCATCAATTTTCTGACAAAGATGATCGTAATTTATATGGGCACATCATGAGAATCACCAAACAAGCACTGAAATGATTCAGGAAACAAGATGCCATGAGAAACCCTGAGACAAGCTTTGTTGAGAGAGAGGCCAGGGGCACAGGAATGGATTCCATCCAAATGGAGAGGATTTCCCATGAAAGAAGGTAATGGTGGACTACACTGCAAGTCCTATGTGACAAACAATGGCACCACAGGCTGAGGAGGATGAGTGGTGATTATCAGTTGTAATGGATGAACAAACACAACAGATACAGAATCAAATCTCTAGACTGCTGTATACTATATCACACAAGAGGGAAGGCACAGAAAAATATATATACATACCTCTGCAACTTTCAAGAACTCTGAAACTTTATCCATCCGCACCAAGAATTTTTTATACAAGTCTAATGCTTCTTTACACTGTTTTTTGTTCATGTCGAAAAACTTTTCTAAAAAAATTAAAAAAAAACAGCAATCAGTTTGGGAGGCTTGTGTTTTGTATTTCTTGAATACTAGTTTTATCATTACAACAGTAAATAAAGGACCCTTTTCCACGCAATCATGCGTAATGGACACATGGCGCTAAACCTATATTCTATAGATCAATCGGCAAGTGATGTGGTCAACATCCCGCCGGCCAACTTTACTTTCCAGAACCTGGTACCCTTGTAAGGCTGGGTCAGTCTGGAAGCCAAGGCCATTTTTGAAAAAAAAAAAAAATAAGTCAGGCTCTGTCACTACCTGACGTCACGACCTTGGGATCCTCATAGCGCCTCTCTATTTACAGCAGTAGGGCACTCAAATATATTATTCTTGCTTTATCACCATGCAGTGCAATCTTTGCGGGGAGGTTGCCATATAGTCAAACCCTCAAGGTATTTTTTCTGTCCTTTTGCTTTTAGGCTGTCAGTAACTGTTCAAGTTTATTTTCTCCTTATGCCATGCCCAAAAGAGTTAACTCTCTATATCTAACTGCACTGAAATATTTCACTTTCATTTGCTTGTAAAGGACTGCCATATCTGTTTTCTGTCTATCCATAGTATATATATTGCACTTTTCTCAGAAAGTATATATCTACTGCCCTCAGATCATTAATACTCATATTCTCTTCTACCTTGGCTCTTGAAATACATTATAATTATATTTCTATTTCAGTATATATACAATTTTTTAAAATCATGTGTAAATGATATTATGTGAGTGGTAGCTGCATATCCTATACAAGATGTTGCAGAATCAACCGCAGTATATTTTGGCTGTTTGTGATTACACAAGGAAATTTTACATTAAGTAGTTTGCCTTTGCTCTCTGGTCAGCTCTTCATACCATTGTCCAAACCAACAAAAGGCAGTATTATGTGACTAGAGGGGTAAGAGAATGCAGTTTAAAATTATAGACCATCATCATTATATTACACATCAATTAAAGCACCAAGCTATGCATTTCAGTTTTTTCTTTGTCATTTGAGATAAAAAAGAGAATTCTTTAAAGCTAATTAAATCCTATCTTCAAATACTGAAGTGAATCATCGACAGTTGGTAAATTAGTGAAAAATTATTTGGAAGCTGCTGAGATGTGGTTTTATAGACGAATGATGAGAATATCCTGGACAGATAAAAAGAGTAAAGAAGATGTCTTGAAAGAAACTGATTCACGAAGTGGACTGATTGCCCACATTAGAGAGAGAAAACGGACATTCTTTCGTCATGTGATGAGAGGAAAAAAATTGGAGTTACATCGTGATGGTGGAAAAGCTGGAGGGGAGGGGAGGAGAGGAAGAGGGAGAAAGAGAGAAAAGATGCTGGACAGTCTGACATCATGGCAAGCAGGATCATCTGTGTCAGAGTTGATTGAAAGTACATGAGACAGAAGGTTGTGGACAGTCAGGACTACCAATGCCACACGGCATGGACTTTATGAACAAGAAGTCAGCACATACAGATGTAAGAAGAAAAGAAGAAGCTGAAAGGTCTGCTATCCAGCAGGACTACTGGAGAAAGCAGACAAGCAGTATATCAGGCTGAAATACTGAATGCCCTGGGAAAGACAGGTTGATTAAATGAATCAGATGATGACTGAATTTGTAACCTTGACCAGAAAGTCAAGCAGAAAGGGAGGAAGCCAGACCACAGTAATATGCATGAAGCCAAAGAAGAAAATCAAACCAACATAGAACTAGGATCATCACTCATCATTCCTTAAACATTGAAGATCGACCCAAGCCCTAATGAAGTGAATCATTCTATGGGCAGCGAGGCTGATCTGTTGACTAAAAAAAAAACGTGTCATAACCCCATTTATTAACAAAACAAATTTGCGTTTAATCTCACCTAATAAATTAATAATACCATCATTGTAGCAGGCAAACAGTCTAATAAGGTCTTTAAACAGAAGCATAAAGCAGGCAGTAATCACTCCATTTGTCAGCTCATTTGGTGTGCACTGGAAATATAAAACATATTTTATCACTAAGGCCAGTAAGACACTTATACAGTCAAAACAAATAGAATTTTTTAAGGGTAAAATGTACCTGGTTTAGTTCAGACTATGCAAACAGCAGTGAGTTTATTAAGCATGTAATCATAAAATTAAGAGCAAGACTGACTCATCTGATTTTAAATATCAGAACATTTTCTTTTCATTGCTTTATTTAGCTAGTATTCTGTTTCTTGGATTATTAGATAGGTAATATGAGTGCCAACACAAACCTACACAGCTGTCCTGAGTTTAATCCTCTCTAGTAGGACTCTTATCCAACAAGAAAGGTTACAGAATTTAGATTAAAAGATAACAAGGGAAATATAAAAACACATAAGAAGAGGATTAGAGACAGAAATTACTATTTTGGGATGAACATGGAGAGAGCACCATAAACCAATGTCTTATAGCATGCAAATGAGGTTAATTTAATGGATATTTTAGATTATTTTCCACTTTACTACAAATTCACTTCTGCATATTTTACCATATAACAAAAGGTAGCATAACATCACACAAATTGTTTACAAGTGAAAGATCACAATAGTTAGAAAACTTTAAAAAAAAAAAGAGAGACTGGATTAGTAAATTGCACATTAAAAAAACTGGTCTTGACCAAATCTGACACAAATACAAGTTCATAGGTCACTAGAGATGTTCAAGCAGAAATAAACTGACACTGGCTGCTGCTGATATCAGCTGCCTTTATTCACCTCTCTGACTGGCCTTCCCTTTCCAGTCGGTGACACCAAGTGCTTATAAGTATGCCCAATATTAACTCTCCACCATCTTCTTGGTTTGTCTTGCAAACTACTCATCCTAATCACTTTTGTGTTTGCAGTTTCTGTAGCTCTGTTACCTGCCATTCTCACTATAGGCCCCATCCATTGCAGTCTATAATTATTATAATTACCAAGTTTTTCAACAACAACAAATTCAAAAACTGAGTGGATAACTCACGTCAAACTCCAACAATGCATCCAGCTGCTGCTGTAACACTGGTAAGGTTTTTAAAAGCTGTGAAACATAAATGAAAAACGGTCAGTGACAGAGGAGTAATTAAAATATATGTCACAAAAACATGAAAAGATCTCATATTTTCCCTCAGCATGCAGTGTTGAGCAAACTTTACACTTTCTCCACACTGTAACCCCTGTGTGTAAAACTTGTGTTTTTCTGATTTGATTTGATCCAAGAACCGATATCACAGCACTCGGGGCATTCCCATAAGCGCTCCGTCCCCATCTTCAGCAGCCAGCGAAGAGTTCTTCTAACAGCATTCATAAAGACAAAAAAGTATCACAGATGAGGCTATGTTTGTAAAGCATTTCTCCCCCCATGTCTGTGTGTGCGTGCACGTAAGTGTGTAAAAATAATTTGGAAACTTTGACGAAAAAGTGGCTTGTTTGGCTTGTTCAGCCTGCTCATTTCAATTTACAACTGCCACTGTATTTTTGTAAACATATTAACATGCTTATGATACCTCCACATTTGTTGCTCGTCTGAAGAGAATCTAACTCCCAGGATCTCAGTGATGAGAATAGTATTTTTCTTCTATTATACTGCACAAATGTAAACAATGTTAGATGAACGAGGTCTGTTTAGTCTGTTTAAGCTAGCAGCGAATACCATAACCGCAGGTCTACTTTGCTTAAAGTGAACTGACTTGCTTAAAAAATACCTAACTCCAGTCTCAAAACTGGAAACTTCAGATAACAGAAGTACCCATAATCTGTCAGGCAAGTTTATATTCTAAGCAATAACAAGTTTACTTCACTGCTAAGAATAAGAATACTCTGACACACATAATATAAAAATAAATTACCTTGTCTGTGTTCATTGTTCTCAGCAGCCCATCATCTTTTCTGTAAACAGCAAGAAAGCGTATCAAAATAACATAACTAAGCAAGCACACTTTAATAAACTATTGTTTTTTTTTTTTTTGTTCAATGGCTGGAAACCTCACGGAAGTTCCTGGTTGTAGACTATCTAGACTGGTTTTGTTCAAGGATCTACACCCATTTTACAGATCTGGCCTAACTGTATGCAGACTGTTGATTCCTTTCCTCTCAGGCAGATGCAGTCTGACTTCGAAGGATACCTCTAATTAGTCGACTCCTACGATATGCTTAAAAGGAAGGCAGTGGGTCTATTCTTTTTTTCTCCCACAAGGGAATAATAAAACTCTTAACTTATACTGTCAAAACTGCCATTACCACCTGCATTTACCACTTTTGCAGTGCAGGCAGAGCGGTCTGAGATTTAGGGCAGCATAGCTCGTGCAGTCACCATGGACTGTGCAGGTCAAAATTGTATTTTTGCTGACAGGAAAATATCCATAACCTTACCGAGGATTTGAACTTGGATCTCCAGCATGAGAGCCCTGCATTCTTAATCATTCAGCCAGCCGCTCCACTCAACTGTACACAATGCCAAATATTTCTGAAAAAGTAAATGTACAGTCATAGCACAATGGCTAGCATGCTTACATGCCAGTCCAGTGGTCCTTGGTAAGAATCTGCATTTCCTGTGTGAGCTTTGAGGCCCTTTGGGGGTGGGGTGGGGAAGTGGAGGAAACAAGACACCCACTACATCCCAAGAAGCAGGTTGTGAAAGCTGACCAATTCGAAGTTGGAGTGCACCTGGCAGAGAGGTGGGAAATAACAGACTGCATACAAAGAAGCCTGGACTGTAAAGTGGATGTGCATGCAAAGCTCAAGTTTTGGAGCAAGACCAAAGTCAAGGAGTGGACGAAGAACCAGAACTTAGTGCTGTAGTTTACAGCCAGTGAATGTGAAGAATTGTAAGCAAGTGTACAATAAATAACAAAGTCAGCCTGTTTCAACATATCAAATGTTAAAGGACAACAACCTTCAAATTACTGTCTTAGTTATCATTAAAAAAAACCTAAGTAAAGATTTAGCTTTTCTGTGTGGGTCCTTGGGCCTCATGTCAGGGTGGGGGAATAATAGACCCACTGCTCCTTCTCTCCCTCTCCTACTAATGTGCAGACCATAAAGGCCTTTGTATAAGGAGTTTGGTGAAATTGGATGTGTTGGGCTGACTGGCGCAGATATCACAGCCTGGCTGTAAAACTACAATACAATGTGCCAGACTAAAAAACAGTAGAGAATTTCAATAACTGGACTCAAAAACTCAACAGACAAAACAGAAATCATGAACATAAAACATCATGCTATGGATATAATGAGTCACCTCAAATATTTATAAGTCACATCTAGAACAAATATTTATAATTACCCTCTTTTAACTTTGCAGAAGTCAAATGCCATTAATCTGTAGGATAAGGCTTTCTCATTTAAGTATTTGGCATATCTTCGTATGTATGTAGACATGTCATAACCTGGAAATAAATAAATGGACTGTGAGAGTAAAACATTTGTGAACTTATCTAGGAGCTGAGACAACAGTAAGTCTACTGATTTTAGCATAAGATTATAATTTCACCTAGTTCTTCTTTGATGTTCACCCTTTAAAGGACAATAGGTACACTGTGTTGAGGTTTTCATCTATGCTGCAATCTTTGTGTCTTTCAGCCCAATACATCTGATTTCAGCATACTCTAATTAGTTACCTTTTATGACATGCTTGCTTGGGGAGAGGAGGTCTACTCTTTTTTCCTCAAAATGAGGTCCCGCAATACACACAAGGAATTTCACCTAGTAAACATAATGGGGAATAGATTACCTTTTTCCTGCAATTAAGGTTCTCTTGCTTGTTAATTTAAATTAAAAATCTGTATATACACACACTTTTCTTGAACAAACTAATAACCTCAAACTATATTCAATAAATGGGGCCACCATGATGTAGCGGCTAGAAACTCGCCTATGGATTGGAAAGTCGTGTGTTCCGATCCTGGCGGAACCATAATTTTTTTCAAAAAATGACCTTGACTCCCAGGTCGACCCAACCTTAAATGGGTACCAGGTACAGTCCTGGGAAGTAAAGGCGGCTGGCATGATGTTGACCACATCACCCCTGAGTGCTGATATGTCCATTAACTATAGGTCTAGCCCTATATGCCCAATAGGCCTAGGGGCCCTTTATTTTAACTTTTTACTTAAATCCAGTAACAGACATATCTTTCAAGATTGATATTGAACACCTGCTTCTGATTTATTCTTGTTTTCTTCTGGAATATCAAACTGTCAAAGATGTGGAAGTCAAAGACATTCAGTAAACACACAAAACTTAAGATCTCCAACTCTTTTGTGATTCCTGTGCTAACTTATGGATGCTTGAGTTGGAAAGCAACTGTAGCTCTAGATTAAACAAAATTAGACAATTCTGAGAACAGATGTCTTAGATTTCAGATTCAATATGCAAAAAATACAAGAGATCAAGCAAATATAATATATCCAGTTTTATAAGAAAGCGTCGCTGGCACTATATCAGCCATGTATTCTGAATGGATAAGACCAGACTCCCCCATCAAGCCCTCATATGGACACCAGAAGGGAAAAGAAAACGGGGAAGACCACGAGAGACCCCGAGTACAACCATCTTCAGGGAAAGCTCAACCAGAGGCCTAATGAACATCTGAACCTAAAACAGGTGGCAACGAACCACCAGACATGGAGAGCTATGACCGCTGCCATATGCGCTGCCCAAGGGTCAAGAGGAAAGAATAACTAATTATGGAATATGAGACCATGTATAAATCAAAGATCCTAAATGGTAATTATAAAAGTGACCTGCATTTTTAACAATCAGTAACATAACTGGCCTCACCTTGCACTCCTCCTTTGTCGACAAAACCACTCAGGTTAAATGAACAGTTGTTGGAAGCAAGATACTGTGTAAACCTCTATGTTAAAACACAAAAAAACAAAACAATTTTAAAGCAATGTTAACCCTACTGTAAATTTGCACAAAGAGGACAAGAATAGATTGCACAATTTATTGCCTGGCATATTCTGCTGTATCTTGTCAGGTACATACTCTAGAGAAAGTGTTGTTTCTGTTACTGTACATCACTATAGTATGCATCTTATGAGAAAAGTAAAATATACCAGGCGGTTCTTTTCAGCTTTTCACCCCATCTTGTCAGCTGTGAGATTTTATAGGGAATTCCTAGCTAATTACCAGAAGGTCCTACAGGAGGGGGGTTAGGTATAGGGTGAGTCTTAGTCTGTGTTCATTTAACAGTAACCCTACAAGACTGAAACTGCTATGTTTTAGGCGTGTCATGTGTTAGTTGTTTTCAACATGTTCACTACATAATAGTTTCCAGTGTTATTTCCATTTGTTCTTCTCCATAATTGTGCTAAATTCATATTCTTTATTTTCTTAACATCACTGGCAATCTTTTCCATTTAGTGCAGCGTCTGTATTTTCAAACGACTCAGGCCAGGCTGCGTGAAATAATACAGTTAATAACTCTTATATTTTTATCAGCAAGAAAGTTATGGGTGATCATTCACCTACGGATTTTAGTCTGGTTCCAGAATCTAATTGTTGCATGCACATCAGTTTCACAGATCAGGCTTATTTGTATGCAGACTCTTGGTTCCTTGCCTCAGACAGATGTACTTTGAATGCCCCTAATCAGTCGACTCCTACGACATGCTTGTTGGGGAGGCAGTGGGTCGATTCTTGCTTTCCCCATAACGGGGCCCTGGAGACCACATGGGGAGCAAATGTGCTCAAATGTGAAGAAAAATTGATCTAAACTGGTTATCTAGATACAATGGAAAATGTATATAAAACAAAATCTCACCTCATTGCCGTAGTTCATGAGATTGTGGATGGAAACCAAAGATTTGAACACCACAACCCAACTTGATTGTTGTGTTCTCTCAATCATCAAATCAGCCAGCTGTGGGATGGACACATTGGGTTCGTGGGTACACTGTAATAAATCTAAAAGAAATCAGAAGTAAAAGGCATCAGTGTATTTAAAAACAAAAATTTGCTGGTGCCTGCAACAATGGTCATTTATCACCACCAATCAGATAATCAGGTAATTGCAGTTCCTACTTCATAATAAACAGGTCACCCCACTGTTGCTCCATTCCTGTGCCAATCTTCTTTCTTCTTCACGCTCACCAGCTGTAAACTCGGGCGCAAAGTTTTGGTTGTTCATCCACTTCTGGACTTTAGTTTAGTTCCAGAATTTAATTTTGTGTGCACATCTGTTTTACATATGTGTTGCAGACAGTTGCTTCCTTGTCTCTCAGGCAGATGTACTCTGACTTTGAAGGTATACGCTAATTAGTCGACTCTTATGACATGAACAAAGAAGATACAAACAATAGATTGCATAGTTTAGTGCCTGGCATATTTCGCTGCATCTCATTAGGTGTGTACTACAGTAACAATTTACTAACATGAAGCAAATGAATGAATCCTTGGAACCGAAACACAAAATTACATTCACAAACTGTCTGAAAAATGTATTCCATTCTGTTTCATTTAAAGAATTCATTTAGTTGCTTTTGTTTCCTCATAAACTGTTACTGTAGTATGCACCTAAAGAGATACAGCAAAATATGCCAGGCGCTAACTGTGCAGTCTATTGTTTGTGTCTTTTTTGATCAAATTCATAAGAGGAAAACATTGCTTTCATCTTATGACATGCTTGTTATGAAGGCAATGGATCTATTCATTTTTTCTCCACAATGGGCCCCAGAACCCACACAGGGACCTGTGCTGATGAAAATCAAACAGAATGTTCCTCACTGTCACTTGTGAAACTATTGACACAGACTGCATTATCAGCAAAGCCAATGGCATATACATGCATTAAACGCATAAGGCAACCGACAGAAGTGCCTACAAAAAACAGTCTGGCTCTAGCATTGCTGTCCAACACTGAAGGACAATCATCATTTTGATAGTGTAAGGCCATGATTCCCAAACTGTGTGCCACAGCGCCCAGGTGCCCCGGGGAGCTGCAACCTCTTCACAGGGAAGCTGCAAAATATTTGAAGATACGCAAGTTTGTTTTTTATCTCTTACATACAAAAAGTCACATATTTTAACTTAGATAAGCGCGCCATGGAAAATTTTTTTTTGAAAAAAGGTGCCGTAACTAAAAAAAGTTTGGAAAAAACTGGCTTAAAGGACTAATGTTGAAAATCATCTAGTCATGTGATTCAATTGTTCACACAAGCGGTCTTGCTAGTCACACTCGCCATAGCCTGATTCTCATGTCTCCCTACAGCAACAATATAACACTATTGTTGGGAAAGACAGAAAAGTGCCGGCAACAAAGTCATGTCACTATACTGTATCCTGCTCTTAGCCATTTACGGTAGTTCTGTTAGTGTCTGAAAAACCCACTCCTTGTGTCGACCCACAGTAGTTTGGTTTGTTTCAAATGTCCTCTCTATTCTTTTCTTCTCCAGTAATTCATGTCTCTAATTGTGACCAAGCCAAACAGGCTTGCTTTTCATATTATTTTACAGCTGTTTATTTTTCCAATCATATTTGATAGAAAGAAAAAAAACTGTTTAAGATCCAGTCCAAATTTAAATGTAGTCAAAGCAACTGCACCATTCAGTATTGAACAATTTACAACAGAAACTCTGTTTTCGTGTAATTAAAATATAATTAAACAGCATTATTAAGAAAAGACGCACAAAGTAGGTAACTGTGTACAATACAAAAAATAAACGTTGCGGCAAAACAGCCTTCCTCAACAACAAAAGTCAAACCCTAAACAAATATTTTCTTTAAAAACTTGAGTGAAACTAAACAGAAGCCACTAAAATAAACGAACCATAATATGAAATAACGCTCCAGCGGTAAAATAAAAAGAAAACGATTTGACATAAAAGTGGGCGTGTCCCCACTCTTGACTACTATTGCAGCCTATACTCACAATCCAGATGCTTCCTTTTCGGCCCAATAATTTCTTCCGTCGTTGCTTTGCAAACCGACTTAGCTAATCCCTGGCCAGAGATGCTGTGTTTTGCGGCCACAACACGGTCCATTATGCTTTGGCCCGCCATTGTTTTAGGTCCAAGTGGCAAAATCTGTCGCTGAAATCCACTTATGGGCCAGACAGATAACCCTAAGTGCTTCACAGCTCTGAAGTTTCTGCTGTGTCGACCACGGGAAAGGGGTGGTAATTAGAACTGCGGAACAAAATGGCGGCCTTGTATTGAACATTGAACACATCACGTGATCAGGGAGTAGTTATTGAAAATCTTTCCCAGGTATACCATGACCCATTTCTGGGCTCAGCTGTATTTGACCCATTCATACAGATCATTGCCCGCACTGGTGTACAGGTTACGTCAGGCTAAGGTAGTCGTTACAAGGTATTACTTCTTTGGGAGCTGAACTGGGTAACTCGATTACCCTACCGTCTGCCATCCAGACTGAGATTGTGCGATCTCAGGGTGTTAAACCTGCAGGTAGCAACCAGAAAGGAGAAAAAAAACGGAAGGAAGGAAGGACATTGACCCCGGTTTACAATTAGTGAGTTAAGAATCGACATTAAAGCGGTCGGGGCATTGCCATAATGCCCGTCTCCATACTGAGCAGCCAGTGAATAAAGGTTTAGTAAACTCTCACAAACGACACCAGTTATCTCCTGCAATCATCACCATCATTTGCTCTGTATATATGTGAAAGCAGTGCTTTTATCCGGCTAAATCCATGTGGTTAAGTCACATTACATATACTAGAACATAACTGACATAAAGATAGTATCCATGGTTGGGGGAGGGGGGGGGGGGGGGGGTTAGATAAAACCGGCATCACGGCACTCACGATATTTATAAAAGCGCCCCATCCATTTCTTCAGCAGCCGAGCAGTTCCAGAGCCGTCTGTACGAGTAGCATCTTGTTTATATGTCCGTAACGTTTTTTTTTTTTTTTAAGATACAATGAAAAGTAAAACTAGTTTGCTTTCCAAGGGATAGGACTCAGGGCATGTCATGGATGGAGATGGCAAAGTGGACAGTGGTGTGAGTGGTAGTTTGAAGATGTTTCTAATGAGGTTAAATGGATTCATTCATACGAAAGCATGGCATTACCTTCATAGTCCATACCGTGTGACATTATGTAATATATTTCTGCGAAAATGCGTTATCTCGTGTACCACCACCCAAGCCTATCTCGGCCACAGAATCTTGTTGTTCTTCCATCATGAGGGATGAAGACCATTTTCATCCAAAGTAGTAAAGATCAATGAATATGAATGAGTAAAAAGGTAGCTGATTAGTCCAGTATGAGCCTGGAAAGTTCTTTACCAGTGCGGACAACTGATGGAAGCTGCAGTAGGTGTGGGATTAACGATACGGTTTTCTAGTCTGCCTCCGTTTCTCTGCCTGTGCAACCTCCGCTGCCTGGCAGTTTGATGCACGATGCCTGAAGAATAAGGGCTTCAGGTTACCTAGTAACCATCGTGGGCTCCTGATTTAACCTTTTGGTTGAACAGGATTTCTGTGATTTGTAATGGGCCATTCACTTCCGAACAGTGACCATGTCGGTCACTTAGTGTTAATCATTCAGTATGCGACCTATTGTAAAGTAAAAGAAATTTTTCCACGCCTTCTGTGTATTCGACATATAGAGCTAGATCTATATTTTATAGACTAATCGTTATTCATTGGTTAACGTGGTCAGACCAAGCCAGCCACCTTAACTTCCTAGGATTTTTAACTAGTACCAGTCTAAGGCTGGGTCAACCTGGAAGCAAAGGTCATTTTTGAAAAAGGTCCGACTCCGCCAGGACCTGAACCCACAACCTTCACATCCGCAGGCGAGTGTCTGGCCGCTACACCACGGTTGTGTACCTCCAGTAATGTCTGATGTAGATGTCCTTCTAATCAAACTTCTTTATCTTTAACTCCTATTCTCTCTCTCTCTCTCTCTCTCTCTCTTATTTCACTCTCTCTCTTCTTTTTTTTTCTCTCTCTCTCTCTCTCTTCCCCTTCCCCTCCCCCACCCCCACCTTCTCTCTTCCAAAGTTTCTGTTAGTAGTATCAGTAATGTTTAACAATATCCTATTCAACCCTCAGGGTTATAATTGGGATATATATATATTTAAAATATATTAAAAACTGTCTTTTGTTTCACCACAAGTTCACGTTACTGTTAGCAGAGAATGTAGAGTCCAACAGTCTGCGTACAAAAAGCCAATTCTATAAAACATATGTGCATGCAAAATTCAAGTTCTGAAACAAGACTAAAGTCCAGAAGTGGACGAACAGCCAGAAATTTTTGCCAGAGTTTACAGCCGGTACCATGCCTAGAAGAATGTTGATTTACGAATCAACATCAAAGCACTCGGGACACTCCCATAAGTGCCCCGTCCCCATCTTCAGCGGCAAGCGAAAAGTTAAAATTCCGATGGTACCAGTTACTGTCTGATTGTAAATCCGTCTCTCCTTCCCCTGGGTGTCGAGCGTCGGCCAGATCCCCTTATAACCCCTCGCAGTGCCATTCTCCTCAGACCGTAATGATCTATCTGTTCCTCGGCACTGTTCACTCGCTCCCAAAGGGCCCTCACAACGTCCAGCTTGTCATACATCAGTTCACCCCCAAGTGATGCAGAACTGACCAGTCTATCTGTCTGCTCATTTACCAACACACCGGCATTACCTATATATAAAGTATGCTACTACCTGGGACCTCTGAAGTGATGCTTGCCACTCTGCACGGAGCATGCCTGTCTCCACTTTTCTCAACATGCTCTGTGAGTCAGTTACATTGACAGCATTTGTGTTCAGCTGATTCTCAAGTCAGCAGAAGGCAGCAGTGACTGCCTCCACCTCCATTCTCAAAATAGACGTTGTGATACCATATGACTAGAAGAAGATTTACTCATTCTTACCTAAATAGGGTCAAGAACCCATTTCTACCACGTGTGGTATACTGGGCATTTGGCTTTTGATCGATCAGTGCTTGGTATGTTCTTCTTCTTCACTTTGTACCTCACTGAAGTGTCGGGGAGATGTAACATTCGTTGACGAGCTCTGTCAAGAGCACTATTGATTGATGTTTATTTCTGTAAGGCTGTTTTTAATGCCATCACCTCATTTTCTCGAGGTCTTCCACTCACTCCATGCCCGTTGTAACATCTCAGTGTGGCGCGCTGTGGTAAATAGCAGCAGGGCATTCTTATTATGTGTCCAAACCACTTCATTTGTTGTTCTTTGATGACCTGTAAGACTGGCTTTATTCCTAGGATTCGTCCGATTTCGTATTCTATCTTTCCTTGAAACTCCTGCAGCTCTTCTAAGGCATTTCATCTGTTGTCACAATTTTACGTTCATTAGAGGATGTAAGTTTCCACGTTTGGCACTGAAAGCATAGTGTTGGCCAAAAAAATAGTTCTGATAAGATTCACTTTAGTACTCCTGTGTATCTTCTTGTGTGTCAACAGGGAAGATGGTTGCCCCATTACTTGATTAGCTTTGGCACATCTCGAGCTAATGTCTCTGTCCAGTTTTCCATCGGATGTCAAAATTGCTAAGGCGTTATTTTTTAATCTTATTTCTAAATTGTCTTTCTGTCTTCCTATCACCATTGTCTCTGTCTTCGTAGGTTTATTCTTATATTAGATTGCTCCCCTTTGTTTTTAAATTTGATTTAGGTGGTTCTGTAGGCATTCCGTAAGATCTGCTATGAGTACCTGGTCGCCGGCGAATAGAAATTCTGTAATATAATCTTCATGATTAAAGTTCGTTTCCTCATATATAGTATCCATGTATGTGATAAAAAGAAGTGGCGATAGTATAACGCCCTGACGTACACAAGAGTTCCCCTTTACATATTTCTGTCAACTTTATTGAAGGCTTTTTCCTGGTCTACGAATGTCAACAAACAGGTCGTGTTCTATTGCTCTCTCTGATAGTTTCTCGCCCAGATGATCTGATTATCTATACAGATGATTTGGTTTAAGAAGAAAGAGAAGTGCCAGGAAGTTCGTTGCGAAAGCTAATGGAAAATCTTTAGTGCAAGACAGCCTAGCATACGATAGCACCACGTCTAGCTTAAGAATAGAGGTGGAGGTGTAACTGCAGCTTTCTGGTGGCTAGAAAACAAGATGCATTAACATGTCATAACTGTAACGACTCTGAAAGCATGCTAAAAAAAGTGGCAAGCTGTTTACTGTGAAGGTCATGGATTGTGAACATTGTATCTTTTCTCCATGCATCTGGTGTGGTGGGTAATGAACACAGACAAACATATTTTCTGGATCTGCGTCACTGGGTGGTGAATTGCTACAGGACAAGGTAGATGTGGTCAGGACCCTTAGGGAACAAGCATTGAAGTCAGAAGCAAAACATGAATATTATGGCCTGGAGAGAATGAAGCATCTAGGTGTAATCAATGGGTCTGGCCAGCTCACTACACTCAGGGGAAAGGCAAGACGGACAAATAACCAGATGACGACTGGTACCATTAGTACTGGGACTCTGCGCTGGTTGCTGAGGATGCGGACGAAGCATGCATGGGCATGCTCCAAGTGCTATGATGTCAATTCTTGACTCATTTCAACTCTGATAATTATCTCAATGTATAAATGGCATGTGTGCAACTTCTATTTCATCAAAAGACCATCTGTGATTCTGAAAGTTGATACTCTATCATTGGTCTTAGCTTTCTTTCAATGATCTTAGCATACATTTTCCCAAAGTGACTGAGAAGCGATATTCCTCTGTAATTAGTACAGTTTCTCTTGCTTGGCAGAGGATGTGATCAAAACCGCCAGGACCATGTTTACTCCCTATGACATTCCCTGCTAAACATTATAACTTGTGTGGACTTGAATGTTCAGGATTGTTTTTTAAACTGTCTCGCTAGGGACTCCAACATTTGACCATACGGCCAACAGATGACCTTAAGAAGTAACAGTCTGCAGATCAGGGCTATTCAACAACCGGCCTGCAGGCCAACTGTGTTAAAACATCAATTAATTACTCCACACGTTGAAAACAACCATGCCACTCCATATACAGAGCTCGAGGCTGCGTGGTCTTGAGGCATGATGTCC